ATAAATTTTTTTTTAAATTAAATTTTTTTTTTTTACTATAAAATTATTGCATTAATATTTGTTCGTTAATAAAACCAATATAATGTACCAAAAATGTTATTATATCACTATAACTAAGCCATTTATGGGCACTGAATCGTGTGGTAGAGGCCTGTAGGCACCCACGCCAGTACCGCTTTTCTGCCACATAAGTGCATTTTCTACGGAACTGCTTAAAGATTTGTAAAAAATAATCAGCGTTTTAGAAAGAGAAATATATTCTCCAGATGGTTTATTTCAGCACGTTTTGCGTTATTGTAGGCCGTTTAATTACAAACGACGCTTGATTTGTAACATGAAAATTTTTTTGTTAAAAAAATTGACTTTACTGGTGTTTTTCATAGCCTAAGCCAATTATTTTTTAATATTTCTTCATGTTTTATTATTCTATGATTATTCAGCTTTAATAAAAGACCAACTATGAGGAAATTAAGACAAATGCTGATTCTCAGTGACCAAAAAACTAACTAAAGTCAAAGTCGTCAATCCGCCATCTTTGGACGCCATTTTGGGGCAGTGCGTTCACTTTTTTTTGTGGGAACAATTGCTTTTTTTTAATAAATAGTTACAAGGAACACAACGATATGCAATTTATAGGGATGTGGGGGGGGGTGCACGGTAAGGGGGTCTGGCCCAAAGACTAATAGAGGAAGAATTCAAGAAACTGGTCCACTCAGTATACTACTTACCAGGTGTGTAAAAACAAAACCTGAATTCATCCATAGATAGCTCTAGTAAACGCATTATTGGCATCATTTTGTTTCTTGGACAGCTAGCAAAGATTATTAATGCACAACAATACAAGTTTCATAAAATAGCATTGTTTTGATATTGTTGAACATCTTAAGTTTGGTGCTAACAAACTATGATTTGCATATATCATCAGTTTCCTACTACCATTTAAAGAAAACTGCACCAGAATCGCACCAAATGCTAGTCAAAGCTTATATGAGCGTGCTCTTAGTGAATCTTGAGTGGCTTTTAAAAAAATCTAATGTGGTGATTTTGACATTAGTAACAAAGGTGGAATGTGGTAAGTGCCATCTATTACAAACAAGCCTAATAAAACCTGGCAAAAATGTTAATATTGAATGCTATCAATAAGAAATGATTGTTTCTAACAGAGTAATATGTGAAAAAAGACCAGAATATCTTAAAAGATAACATGAAGTGATTTTGCTACATGATAATGAACCATTACACACAGCAACACCAGTGAAGGAAACGATTGAGGCGATCGCATTTATTCAGTGATGCCTCACTTCTTATAAAAAAAAGCTTGATCACTGGTTCACCTCTAAAGAACAACAGTTTTTGCAGCATGGTATTCATAAATTACCAGAGGAATAAGAAAAATGTATAACTAGTAATGGACAACATTTCAAATAAAACGTTTTTTAAAATTTATATGCACTAAATGTGTATTTTTTATACTAATATTCCAGTTTTATTATTACACACCTAGCCTTTTCCTCTCTGACAAGAACATATAATGAGTGAAGCTTAATCTAAGGCGTCATAAGAAATAATATATTAAAAAATCATTCGACCAGTAAGTACTTAAGTTGGACTGAGAATGTTGGACTGTGACTAAAATTCATAGGCAAGTCCTTAGATTTGAAAAAGAAGTTCTTCGTTGTATATATAAGATGTATTCAAGAACATGAAACAAATTTTCCAGTTTGTATTAGTCGGATTCAAGTAATTTATTGTACTTATGTTGGTAAACATGTTTTAAACCCAATCTGTACACCGGAAGCTTGTCAGCGAAGGTTACGGGTGTTTGCTTTTCAGTGTTTATTTTTGATTTGTTGGAAAAATTGTTGCATTAAATTTTGCTATAATAACAGAATAAAACATAAAAATAACTTTTAAAAATATAGAATATTACCTTTGATGAGTCTGTTATGGGTAAATTAAGGATTTACTAGTGTTCCCAAAATAGTTTTGAAAATGATAATGATGACAAACATTCTGGACAGCCAATGAAAATATAGAAAAAGCAAATCACAATTACAGAACTCTTATCTGGATTAGTGACAAAACAATTGATAGCTTTTGCACCATAATGAATCTGCACACATACTGATTGTTCATGAATTTTTGGTGAAAAACAAAACAGTAATGAAGGCCCAGCTGCAACATATGCCTTATGTGGCTCTGTGTGACTTTTTTCTCTTTCCAAAAATAAAAAGAACCTTAAGAGGCCATAATTTTTCAAGTATAGATGAGATTAAATGTGCTAAGAGAGCTAAATACTATCCCAAAGGCTGAGTACCAAAAGAAAAAAAAAAAACCCATAAACATCGCACCAACCACTTTATTATAAGAAGAATGGAGATATTGCTCAAGACAAAGCTAATCCATCTTGTTCTCATAAACGTTTCAGAGACATGGAACCTAATGAATGTCGGAGAGAATGACTTCCCCAACTTCAAGATTCATTGAAGAATATTTGATCCTTAAACTTAAAGGTTAGTGGCTATTGAAGAAAGAAAAATAATATTAACTATGAGTTATTAGTTTGGCAGTTTGAAACAAGCAGTCTTTAGATATGTGAAACAGTCATTTAATAGCATAATCTCATTATCAGAAGAGGTAGGTAAACAAATAAAAGCAATTTGAATTTTACTGAACTTTAAAATTGAATGTTGCCTAGTAAAAGGACTGTAATTCAATGTAAAAAAAAAATGTCCATCAATCTTGGAGAAAGCTGTGGATAGCGACTAATGAAACCTAATCTAGTAGGCCATCATTTTGAGAAAAAATTCTGGATAGTAATGTCGAGTTCCGAAAAATTTCCTAGTCATCTATGACTTGGACTTATGCAAAATCTAAAATAAATGGGTCTTTCCAACTGTTTTATAGCTGCAGACGCTGGACAGACGAATTTGTTATTAAATTTGAGGATCCTACGTATTTTGAAATGTAAAGATTAAGGGTGATATGTATAGTCATTCCTTTAACTCCACTTGAACATTTTGTCAAAAAAGGATACTCAATGAAAAAACCTTTCAGCCAATTTGATTGCAGAGACGCTTTCATAAAAAAATAACATTATTGTTAATTGGAACAGTCAAATCACCTCCTTAACATACTCGATGCTCATTCGATACTTTAACACATTTTCCTGCAAATGTTTAAGAGAAGAAACATCAAATTGGATGAAAAAGTTCGTCATCATTGAGTTTCATAAAAGTATATCTTTTTTGATGGAAGGTTCACTACTATACACATCACCCTAAAATTTTGTTGATGGTTAATTTATTCTTCATGGTCCATTACAAAAGTTCATAATTGAAAATAATAAACTAAAATCAATGCATCAATAATACAAGTTATAAAGAATAAAACCGCAATGTGATAAAAATAGAAAAAATTGGTTGAGGAAAAAATAAAGCAAGTTTTCATAGTAAATTATTCATAGTCGATTCAAACTGTTCAAAATGTTAATGAAACATTAAAGTATTTGAGTATCTGGAGAGAGATTTCGGCTGTAAATATTTTTCAATATATATATATATATATGTTAAGATTGAAAGAATAATTATTTGTATATTTAAGAATAATTTTATCAAGTAAATATTATGAGTATCATGTGCCTCTGCATGAAATTTAAAACAAATGAATATATTTTGAAACCTCTAGCACAGGGGTCAGCAATTGTTTTGGTTAGGGACCTACTTTGAGGAAATAGAGGATCACACCTTTTAAAATTATTCCAATTATAAATTATAACTTTATATTTCATAAAAGGTATGATTTGTATCATATCAAATCAACAACTAAACTTTTTTTCATACCTCTAATAAGATTTGTTTTATATTTATAGCGGTTTAATATGCTACAGTTCAAATCAGACACCCATAAACATTTTTAAGTATCACACTGGTAAAGTTCTTACTAAGTTTTCCTTCAGATAATTTCTATTAAGCATTAAATCCGTTTCTTATATGGAATAAATTTTACTGAACTGACCGTATAGCCACTGGACAAATGTTGCCTGATTAGAACCATACTGCCTCAAACCACATGTGGTAAGCAAAAAAAATTAAAATGATTAAACTGCCTCAGGAAAAACCTAATTTGGCTTTGTTTGAATTTACATTTTCCACATTTACATCTACGCATCCAAATCTACTATTGTCCATTGAGCTTATAAAATACTGGTTAAACATAAAAGCTCAAAATATCTAAAGTTCATACACGGGGCCACAATTCTAAAACTGTACCTTTTTGAAAAATAAGGAATCAAGTATCAGAATAATGGTCTCTAGAGCTTCAAGTGAATAGCAGCAATACATAGGAGTAATAGAGTGAGTTTGGCAAAGAACAACCATTAAAATAATATAGCTTTGTAGTGTCATACATAACAGAATGATATCTTATTAATGAAACAATACATCATGTTAAATACAATGTACAGTTAGCTTAGTGTTCAGTGACACATAAAATTAAGATTCAGAAACAAGAAAACTAATAAACAAGTATTAAGTACAATAATGAATCTCACATAAGAAAAAAACTCATATAGCTTCAACTGAATGTCAAACAACAATAACAACCTAATCATAAAGTAATATTAGAGATAGTTAAGTTAACATGACAGATAACTTTTACAACCATATATCATAAACAAATATTATACTGACGAAAGCTTACAAACAAAATAAATCTTTTCTATAATCTTTTCTCTATTTATAATCGAAGATTAACAGAATGAGAGCAAAACCAAAGTAAAATAAAACATACAATAAAGATCAAGAAATCATATAAACCTTTTATCATCCTTCCTTTATCAAAATCAAAATAGAAGTGAGAGTAAAATTATAATAGTTGGTATATATTGTAAACATCTTAATCCAAACTTAAATAATACCCATATGCCTAATATTAGCCAATATTTAAAATACTTCAATAATAATTTATTTGTAGATCTTTAGGAATAATAAAAAAATTACCTGTCGGTGGGCGTGCTATCAGGGGTTGGGTGATTGAGGTTATGCGGACCCCCTTGTCTACCCTGTTCTGCCATAGACCTCGCACTCCCACCAGTAAGGCATGCCACGACCCAATCTCTTGAAACTAACAAAAAAAAACACAATGAATATATAATTACAAATTACATAAAAGTCTAGACTTCTTAGAAATCAGAAAGAAAACAGGAAAACTTAATTATCAGAAGAAAACATTTGAACAATAACGTATACAAGATATTATTATTAAAAAGCTTATCACCTCAGTTAAATGTCAGAGTACGTGGTGATTAAACTGAATTTCATTCCTAGTTAACATCATTTAAACTATTAAAATACTTTGAAATTAAAAAATACTTAACAGTGACAATTGAAAGGTTTATATGACACAGTTAAATATAGAAGAAACTTCTCAATTACAACTCAACACAATGTTTTTTATTTAAAACAACATATTTCAGAAACAATAACTAACTATTTAAACTGATAGACAATACATTAGATTATCAATAACCATTTTGTTTTCTGTTCATTAACAAAGGGATCAACTTTATGCCACTATGTGCAAGCTATGAAGGCATATCAATGAAACAGTACTTATGACATCACAAATCAAATGAATCAGTGAGCTATAGTGCTTTAATGATCACAAAAAAATTAAAGAAATTATTAATTTGTTGTATTTAATTTACACAAATAAGAGAAAAACTTTAATACTTGCCGTGATCCCAGCCAAAAGCAGAAGGCTCAAATGGCAACTTGTACAACACTTAAAAAGGATAAACAGACAACATTGGAACTGAAAAAAATACAGAGACAATGCCAAACAATTCGACTTGGAAACAAACATTAACAGTTGTTCATCTGAGCAGCCATTAATGTTATAGTCAATCAGCAGTGTTGCCACTGGGATAAGCGTTTTAATGATAAAACCCTTGATTTAAATCCTTTTTTTTCTCGAAAAGAATCAGTTGATTTTTAATTTTCTTAGATTTAAAAATCATTTGTATGTTATTTAAAATAGTCAGGTAAATACATTCCTGATGAAGAAAAGGTGAATCTTATGTCTCCTCGAAATTCGTGTAGATATATATATATGTACATTTGTATTTGTGTGTATATATATATATATATATATATATATATATATATATATATATATAGAGAGAGAGAGAGAGAGAGAGAGAGAGAGAAAGGAGAGAACATTAAATACATTTAATAACAATTTTTGTGAGTTTACAATACAACTTATATAAGAAGTGTATTCTGTGAACATTCTTCGTAATTAGATTACACGATTGTGAGAAATTCACGATAAAACACAAATTAAAAGGATAAACAAAAATATACTAGCAACAAGACAATCTATAAAAGATGTTAAAACAAAATATGAAAGTGTTCATCGAAATTCCTCCATATAAATGACCAACACCCTTCATGTTCTTGTTTGAATCCTTAAAAGGTCAGAATGACAGTCTCATGATAAAAATCTGTTACAAATAAAATCGACTAATACAAGTGCTTATCGTCGCCATGGGGTCGGTCTTGGGTTCAGAAGAGAGAGTACATTTTATATTTTGATAACTTTTTTTTAAAAACTTTTTCACTCAAGAAGCTGTTAAATCTTTACTATAGAGCACTAACAGATTCAGGATTGAATTCTGAGGGAAACTTCAGTCCGAAAAATTTTTTTTTTGTAGGTGTATATAACGATAATTACTTCGGAAGCAAGAAAGAAACTAAGTACCTATATGAAATGATGTTTCAGTAATTCTTTAAGTCCTATTAAATGTAATTAGACCAACAGTAATACTTACAGAGATCATTTTTTTCATAAAACATGGTTAACAGACTTATATCGAAGTTAAACGGGTATGGACTATCTTAAAGAAGTACAAGCTAAAGTGGTTCGTTGATCCATTTAAAATGAATCAAAAGAGAATCGTCAGGAAGAACTACGAGACCGAGTGGAGGGCGACTCATATCTCCTGGGAAGCTGGAGCATGAAAGGCGTTTGGGAAGCGAGACGTGAATTGTAATAAAAGAGAGTTGGCCCAAAATCTGGACAATGGGCCCGAACTGTAACCAAGACCTCACACTGTACCTATGCAAACAGAAATATATACTGTACCTATGCAAACAGAAATATATACTGTACATATGCAAACAGAAATATATACTGTACCTATGCAAACAGAAATAAATATGTTGATGATGATTTGTAATGTGGCCTTCTTTTTTTTTTTTAATTAATATTTATTGGCATACCTACCTAGCCTATACGGCAATACGGGATTCGGAAGCAGTAGAACTTCACTTAATGCGTCATACCAATGCAGTTAATTTTTTTCTGGTTTAAACCTATGTCCTTAATTTGTCTTCTATTATACTTCACGTGGGTCCGACTGTTTATCTGGTGAAAGGCCTCATCTTGTTTGGGCTCTCACATTAAGGTGGGTCGGCCCCACCGCGGTTTTCGATTTATAAATGAATTGTTTGAACAGTAGGAAATTGTCCTCACTTACTAATTGAGGAAATTCATTTTCAATGAGAATGTAGAATCCCGTGGCTTTCATCAATATGGCCCTCAAGGTTTCAAATGCTGTGGAAGTCGTGACCACATACTCAACAGTTTTGGAGAATGGGCCGTTATTTTGTGATAACCTTTCTATTTCCGTTCCAATAATAAAATAAATCATAACTGTATCTGTAACTAATGTCAAACAACATGTCTAGTACAATTCCTCTCATGTCTAGTACCCTGATCACCTGTCATGTTAACTCTCAATCCCTCCCTGCCCACTATGACGAGTTCCTGCAATATTTCACTCAAAACTTTTATCACATTATCGCAATCTCTGAAACTTGGCTTAAACCTTACATCCCATCCTCTTCTGTTTCCTTGCCTAATCACACCCTCCTCCGTCATGACCGGGTAAGCCGGAATGGCGGAGGAGTAGCCATGTTTGTCGGTAATAGCCTGAAAACTCGAATCATCGATTCCTCACCATCCTCCGAACATCCTCAAGTTGAATATCTTCTAGTAAGAATCCATTGTAAGGATGTTCCTCTCCTTTACACTGTGGTATATCGTCCTCCCCATGTACCATTTGATCAGTCCTTTGAATCAACCCTATTCAACTTCGTTCCTCTATATCCCAGAATAATCATCTCCGGTGACCTCAATACCAATTTCCTCTCTAACTCCAATGACAAATCCTATCTAGAAAACCTAATTTTCTCTCTGCACCTCTTCATCGTTCCATTTTCCCCCATCCACCACACCAGCAGGTCCGATACTTGGCTAGACTTCTACATTATAGACTCTGCACAAAATCTCCTCTCCTCTTCTCAATTGCCAGTATCATTCCTATCATCTCACGATCTTATACAAATAACATATAATATCCGAACTCCTTTAATCCAGCCTCGAACTATCACCTTCCGTCATCTAGATACCCTTACTCGAGAAAAAATATTACCTGACCTAGAAACCCTAGATTAGAATGGAATATATGCTTGCTCTTCTATCGACTCCATGGTTGATATTCTTACCACCAATCTTCTCAATATTCTCAATACCCATGCTCCCCTCAAAACCTCTACCTTTCGTCACCGGCCTGCTCCTTGGATGTGTCAGGAAATCAAAGATCTGCAGAAGAGGCGCGACGCTGCAAGAAGACGTTTTAGACGTACTAGGCTCGCGGATGACTGCCAAGCGTTCAGGGTGCTTCGCAACTTGGCACAGACAAGGATCCGGCGTGTGAAAGCTTCCTACTTCCATGAAACCCTTTCTTCAGCTCCTGATATCAAATCGAAATGGCTACTGCTTCGTAAACTTTCCATTTGTAATCCTTCCAGATCCCCTACCGCAGCCTTTTCTGTATCCTCCGATGATTTAAACTCTTATTTTATATCTGTCGCTAATACCTCTTCTCTACCTTCCTCTTCCGGCTTTTCTCCAGAGATACCCTTTAACGACAATAACTTTTATTTTTCCGACATTTCTCCCACAGACCTGTTAACCGCGGTAATGAAATCCCACACCAATTCCATAGGGCCAGATGGCATCTCTGTCAAATTAATAAAAATATGTCTCCCTGAAATCCTTCCAGCTCTCTTTTTTATCTACAATTTCTCCCTTCAGAATTCAGTAATCCCTACCTGCTGGAAAAAAGCCATTGTTCTTCCTTTAAATAAAAAGCCTAATCCATCCTCACCCGAAGATTTCCGTCCAATTTCAATTCTTTCTAACCTCTCAAAGCCTCTTGAAAGACTGGTGCAATCCCAAGTCTCCAAGTTCCTCGAAAAGTCCAACCAATTTGATCCTCTCCAATCTGGTTTCCATCCCGGCTATTCCACACAATCTGCCTTAATTAAAATTACCAACGACATTCAATCTGCAATAGATGATAGAAAATTAACTGTCCTGTTACTCCTCGACTTCTCCAAAGCCTTTGATTCCATCAACCATTCCATCCTCTTCAACAAACTAAAATCATTATCTTTCTCCAATAGTTCCATCTCTTGGTTCCAATCTTTCCTCTCCCAACGCACCCAAGCAGTCTCCATACCCAATCAACCACTATCTGCCTACCTTCCTTTATCCTCCGGAGTTGCCCAGGGTTCAAGCATATCTCCTCTCCTTTTCAGCTCCTACATTAACGACCTTCATAATTCAATTCTCCATTGTTCCCACCACCTTTATGCAGATGATTCCCAGATCTACCTATCCTTTTCTCCCTCTGAGTTATTGGTAGCATTTGCCAAGATTCAAGAAGACCTTGATCGAATCAGTGCCTGGGCAAATGTAAATGGATTAAAGTTAAATGCTGCCAAAACTCAGGCCATTGTCATTGGTTCCAAGCCCCTTATTAGATCCCATACTGACTTTCCCATATTACACCTTAATGACCAGCCAATTTCCTTCTACTCCTCTGTTAAAAATTTAGGATTATTCATAGTTCAAACCCTCTCCTGGAACTACCATATTTCTCACATTTCCCGTAGGACAATTTCTACCCTTAAACTATTTCATCGCTTCCGTCATCTCCTACCTCAACATACCCGTAGACTCCTAATTTCCTCTCTCATCTTCCCACACTTTTA